GTTATGCCTGCATGTAGGTAAGTGCACCTGTGTCGTGCAATGCCCACAGAAGTCAGAAGAGGGTGTCTGGATCCCCTGGAACTGGAGCTACAGACAGTTGTTAGCTGCCATGTGGGTACTGGGATTCGACCCCAGGTCTTCTGCAATAACAGTCAATGTTCTTAATCATTGAGCCATTTCCCCAGCCCCCAGTAAACTTATTTTCTGAGACAGTATCTCTCACTTGACCTGACTCTTGATGATTCAGTTAAGCTGGTTGTTCAGCAAGCCCAAGAAACCCACCTGTTCCACCTCTCAGCACTGGGATTACAAGTGTGCACCACTATGTCTAGATTTCTTACATACATTCTAAGAATGAAACTCAGGCCCTTGTGCTTGCAAAGCAAGCACTTTACAGACCAAACCATCTCCTCAGTTCCATGTTTTGTTTATATATCAACAAAGCACTTACAGTATAGAAAATGCGCCTACTTTACTCCATTAGACAAGCACCCTCAGCACTTGGGGCTTATTGTTACCAGTCTTTCTCTACATAATTTTGTTCCACATTTTGCTTGAGCAATCTATAACCTGCTACTTTTGTTGACCTTCTTTGTTTTACCTAAAGACCAGTGTGTGGCCTGATTTTAAGGGACCATTTTCCTTTTGTAAATCACTAACTAAAAAAATGAAGTGCCTGTGATTCAGAGGGACCAGAAAGGGTGGGAAAATATGTGAATATCTTCTCTACTGCAGTGGGAACCTGGAGGCAGGCACTCTTTGGGGAAGCCAAAAAGGCAGAGTTCCACTCTTTTCTTGGCAAGACACTTTCTGAGACTCTGTCTTTGGACTCTGTGTTTTGGGAGCCTGGAATTAGCCTGGGAACACTTTCATACCCAAGTGATTTCAGAAGCTCTCTGCTCACAAAAAAGACTCCTATTTCTAGTCCTCAACCTTTCTTAAGGTCAAAATGTGACGGTGCATCTATCCCAAACCCCTTCCGCTCGTCCCTCATGTCACACTGCTAGTTATGATGCTCGTCCCTCATGTCACACTGCTAGTTATGACTTTCACAGACTGGGCTCATCATCTGCAAAGTGATTTACAGGTTAAGGGATGGGGCCTCAGCAGCCGGTTAGTATTCTCTCCAAAAGCGTTGTCACCACTAGGACAAGTACTTCCGTGAGTGCCTCTGATACAATTGGTTCACCTACAGCTAGACACGGTTTTTTAGTAGTGCCCCCCCAGGCTAAATCAAACCAAAAAAGGAAAAAATACCTTCTTCCTTAAGCATGATGGGTTGGGGATATATGCTATATAAATTTAAGTTCCCCCATCTGTTGGCACTCAATATGCAAAAACATGTGCTATTTTTGTCTTTACTAATGATATAAACCCCATATGTTGGCCACCCTGTAAAGACAGGATGTTACTATTGGCAGATCACATGGGAGAGTTAGCATTGAATAGGGTAGGGAGGAACAGCCATTGTTAAGCTTTGACACTCACTAGTCCTGGGAAGCCTGTGGAAGTGAGTGACTAGCAGTCTTATGCATTAGAGAAATGAGAGAAGGGAGCCAGTTCTTTATAGTTAAATCAAACCATTCTTCCAAATTAGGCAGTGCAGGGAAGCCCCACATGGGAGGCCTGTGGGCTGACTTGGCTGTAATGCAGAACCAGTCTCAGTCTCAGTAGACCCAGCCTTCCTCTAGCCATCTTCTCAGTTGCTAACCTGAGACCATTCTCAGAAGTCTGGAAAGTTCTCTGAGAGTAGACTAGATTGTTTACAGAGGGGCTGAGTAAAGGATCAAAGGTGCTATATCACTACTATAGATTACCCTCGCTGTGGAATGGGTTCGTTATTCCCTTCCCAGCTCTGGTTCTGCATCCTCAGAGACAAGGCCACCCTTCCCTCTCCTCAGCAGGGGCTAGAGCATGCTGAGACACCAGCAAGCCTAGACTTAATTACCCACTTTGTTCTGGTTCTTGTCCTCAAATGCACGTTTTCACTGCTGGTTTGACACTTGAAAATATTTCTCTAACATGCAAGAAAGATATTTTTATTCACCGGGCATGGCCTTTCCTGGGACCTCTCATGATAACCATATCAGAATACTGTGTCCATATCTTAATGGATGAATGCAGTAGCAAGAAGTTTTTCTATTGATTATTGCAATAATAATATTTAGAGGGCCCGTGGATCTAGCTGCAGAGGGACGACTTGCAGGTCCAATCAGAGGAAAAAGACTGTGGTATAGAATAAACAAGATGGATTTCAAGGTCCACTGTCAACCTGCAATGTCTCTAGCAGGGAGGACTCTGAGGCTCTCATGGGGCACTCTGTAGAGGGATCTATGCTGTGGGTGCTTTATTCTTCCCAGGGTCTTGTGTCTGGTGGCTGCTGTTCCAAGGAGCTGGATCACAGCGGCACTCTAAGCATGTGTCCCTGGACGGGTAGTAAAAGAAAGGTTACTCTACTTGATGGAGCAGATTCTTGCTTTGCCTGGCTGGAGGGGAAGAGACTTTTAGTTAGCTGCTTGCAGATTCTGGGAACTCTGTGTGTGTGTGTGTGTGTGTGTGTGTGTGTGTGTGTGTGTGTGTGTGTGCTGCAAGCCGTCTCTCAGCATTCCTGTCTCAAGTCCACATTCCAGTACCCCATGTTCAACTCAGTTGGCTGCCAGGAGCCTTCCCAAGAGAAAGAGCTGCTTGGAGCCCTAAAGAGGAAACATGAAAAGCTCCAAAGGGTTAGAATTTAAGAATCTAGGCTTGATAATTTCCTCTCTGCTTATGAAAACAAACAGCACTAACTCTTCTTTCTCAATATAGTTCCTGGTTGCTTGTCTCCCAAAGTTGGTTCTATCAAGGAGATAAAGATGGTAACAAGTAAGCCACAAGAACTAAGTCACAGATGCTGCCAATAAAATCAGGTCTCGACATTATTGCATGCACAGTTTATCACCAGGCTACAAGATAAAGAGCAGATGATGTCTGCTAAAGGCTACAAAGCTTCCAGTCTTACCATTGAAGTACAGTGTCTCTCTGACAGAAGCCAGCACTGATTTCAATGTGGTATTAATTTACAGCAATTAGTTATCCTGTGGTAAATATCGTTGGTTACCTCTACTGTGGTTCTTTAGGGTGACAAGGTACAGAACTGGGAGCACAGTTCATTACCAAAGGTATTCTCTTTCAGAAAATAGTATTAAAATATTAAAGATAAAGGAATGCAGTGTGGTTTTGTTGTTGTTTTCTTTTGGGTTTGTGTTTTGAGTTTGAGAAAATAAGAATTAAGTTGTGAGGCATCTTCTTGTCCTGAATATATATACTCATATTCATTCTCTCTCTCTCTCTCTCTCTCTCTCTCTCTCTCTCTCTCTCTCATTATACCTATACTTGAGAACTCACAGGACAGTGAAATGAAATCAAAACAAGACTAACAGGATAGACGGATATATCTAAGTACAAGTCTTTTTTTAATTTATTTAATTTTGAGACAGGATCTCATGTAGTCCAGGCTGCCCTGGAATTCACTATGTAGCCCAGGAGAAACTTTGATCCTTCTTCCTCCACCTTCTGAGAGCTGGGGTTACAGGCATATACCACCACACCCAGTTATATGTGATGCTGGAGATCAAACCCAGGGCCTTGTATATGCTAGGTAGGCACTCTACCAATTAAGCCAAACCACCAGCTCCCTAGGTAGAAGTCTTTTCATTGTTATTTCTCTTAGGATCATTCAATTCATCAGTTTTCCTCTGGATAGACTTCTCTGCAGCATAACATAGACTCCTATAGGTGTGGACAGTGACTTGGGATGGCATCAACCCCAGCCATTCCTGTCATTCCCTCATTAAAGGTCTTCATCTAAGTCGGGCTTTTCCTTGACTCAAAGTTGCTCATCTCTAGTGCCAAATACAAAAGAATTTCCCATCTTCCTAATTATCTGAAGATCAGATTGACACAAAACAATAAGATTCTACAGTGAAAAAGATGGGAACTGCTCGCATCTACCACAGTCAGGTTTGTGATCTATCTGATGACCGTGGACAGACAGATGCTCTTCAGCTTCCAAATATAAACACTTTTGTAATGATAAACAAATGTTCTCAAAACCAAAAATGATTTGTAAATTTGAAAGTTTGCTTTGTGACATTTACCAGTCCCTATAGAAAACACACTTTTTCTTATGCCATTTACACATCCACTGACCTTTTACTGAGTCCTTCCTCTGTGTGATGAATTTGTACAAAGTAGTACACAGAATGCAGGTGGCCCCTACTCTCAATAAGTTTACAGTCTCTTGAGGAGGCAAGCAGTTCCAATCAGCCAAGTGAGGTGGGGCAGGCCTGGAATCCCAGAACTAGGGAAGGAGGCAGAAACGGGAGGATCTTTAGTTCAAAGCTACCTTGGACCACATAGCAAAATCCTGTATCAAAAAATAAAAGTAACAAAACTAAACAATCCCAATAAAGTCCTGCTGAATATAGGTGGGAAGTCAAAGAGTACTTGTCCTGGTTTGTTCTCCGTTGCTGTGACAAAACACTCTGGCCGCTACCAACTTGGGGAGGAAAGGGTTTATTCAGCTTACAACTCCCAGGTCGCAGTTCATCAGGGAGCCCAAGGTAGGAACTCAGGGCAGGAACCTGGAAGCAGGAGCTGGAGTACAGGCCATGGAGGAACGCTGCTTACTGACTTGCTCCTCTGGCCCCTACTCAGCCTGCTTTCTTATGCAGCACAGGTCCACCTGCCCAGGGGTGGCACCACCCACAGTGGGCTGGGCCCTCCCACATCACTCAACAATCAAGAAAATGCCCCACAGACATGGCCACAGGTCAGTCCAATGAAGGAAACTCCCCAGTTGAGGCTCCCTCAACCCAGGTGTTCAAGTTGACACTAAAGCTATCCAGCACAGTACTTATTCCTGGAGACTTAAAGTTTCCTTTAGTCAGTTTGCCATAGTCTCCAATATAGTTTCAGACTCAGAAACCATAGCATAGATGGTCTTTCAAAAAGTTCTCACATTGGCCAAGCAATCAGGATAAGTCATATTAAATTAAAAGGCCAATTTACTAATTTATCCTAAGAAATAGTATTGCCCAAGGGTCTTACTCTTAAGTCCCAAGCCACAGCAGGAGTTAAGTTACAATCACAAGACTTCTTGGTAAGCACAAAATAGAAAAGATTAGTGTCTGATGAATGTACATGACAAACTAATGATCTCAGGCTAAGACAGATGTCTGCAGTGGGTAGATCAGATAGTATGATGGGACAACTGAAAGCTTTATTGGAGAACACTCCAACCTTTGGAATAACCAAGGTTGGCAGCCCAAACCCTTACTCGGATTCCATTTACAGTTGCCATTCAGCCATGTTGGTTGGACTGATACCAACTTTTATATGGAGAGCTGGTCATCTTGGGATTTGAAAACCTGTGTTTGTGGGATCCTAAAGTTTGTACAAGTTTATGAGACTTATTGTTAGAAGTAGGAACCTGAGATGTATATCAATTGGTAGAGTTTTTACCTAGCCTGCACTAAAGCTATGGATTCAATCCTTAGCACCACATAAAAGTAGGGGGTGTAGCTCAGGTCCCCAGTCCCACTACTTGGGAGGCATAGATAGGAGGCTCAGAAATTCATGGTCACCCACAGCTATTTAGCAAGTTCAAGGCCAGCCTGGGTTAGATGAGACCCTGTCTCAAGAGGAAAATATTACAGACAGCCTTTGGAGTTATAAAATGTATGGTTCCTATTCATGATTTGGTTTTTATTTTTAAAGAAGCAATTACTATATTTGATATGGACTACTGTTTCCCATAAATTCATCCTCAGCTGAGTGCAGTGTTGCTCTTTGGAACATCTGCAACATTTTCCATTTCAAATGAAAGAAAATAGTTCAGAAAAGCAGTCGCTTTCCTCCTGAGTCTCAGAAGGAGATTCATTTGGCACTGAAGCACCCCTATATAATGTGTAGCCGTGAGTTCCCAAAAGGAAGAGGCACAAAGGACCCTGGGAGAAAACGAGCTTCTTTTTGAAGCTGTGAAGTGTTGATAGAACTATCTTCTCCTGACGGTCAGTGGCAACCACTAGGAATGTTCAAAGCAAACCAGCCGACTCTTCCTTCTGCTGCATTCTGTCCTAATTTATATAAGATATACAATCAGGATTCAGTGTTTTGCATACTAATAAAGCATAGTATATGGTTGATAAAAACTCAGCAGTTTACATAGCACAGTGGCAGGAAAGATTCAATGAATGAGGACAGGATGGATGACTGAGTGTATAAATGCTTAAATATGCTACTCAGAAAAAGGCTTTCTCCCATGCAGGCTTATGTACAACAAAAGTAATATTCTAACTTTTTACTTATTTTCCTGAGGGAAGTGAGTGGTGGGTTTGCTAAATATATACCTAGCAGTATATATTCTATAAGCAGAGAAGCAGCTTACCAGAATGAGTGCTAAGTACAAAAATATAGAGATGTGTGTGTCCATGTGCATGCACACACATGGCCTAATGGGGACACCTGGAGGGGATTTGAAGGCGCATTTCCACATCACAGATTTCTCACATGTAAATTTCCTGTGTTACCTCAAGATAGACATTAAATGCTTCCAGGAGGCACCAAGAACCATTGGAAAAGCATAGGCTTTGCAGCCAGACAGATAGGGTATTGATATGCAGCTCGCTACCAGTTTGACCTTGACTAAGGCATCTTACCTCCCTGAACTCTCAGGTAACTCGTTCCTGAACCAGTAATAACAATGCTTAGTTCTAGGTTGTGACAGAGAAATCAGCAATGAGAGCAAATACATATACAATGCTATGTGTCAGGCACTGTTGTGCACTTTATATTCAGGATATTATTTAAACCTCACAAGAGCCATATGAGACAAAACTTTTTCTTTACAAATAAGGAAAACTAAGGCACACAGATGTTCTTAGTGTCAATACACTGAAGATCCTCAATAGATAATAATAACCATTATTTCTTGTCACAGTCTAAGCAATGTACATTCATTTTCTCATTTCATCCTCAGAAAAAAGTATACGTGTCTACAATGGTACAGACTATATGGTAGGCATTCCATAAGTATTTGTTAAATGACTGAAGGCATCTTAACTGTACACTGCAATTAACCACTACCTAGGGAAGTAACTAACCCAGTCACAGAGCCACAAACTCCAGGACCCATGCTCTTAACCACCAGCCAGTTATGGTCTCTGCATCTACCGCCTAGATCAGAGGGGAAAAAAGGCCCAGAGTGAATGGAGGTGGGTCTCCAACATCTGGATATCTACAGATGTAAAGGTCACTTCAGGACAGAACTCTGTGGCAGTTGTTCAGAACCTGGGGCACCACACGCTCTTCCTTTCTCTTGTTCTACTTTTTCATTCACTCTTAATATCTAACTCAATCCCTAAAACGCTTTCCTCCACCTCCTCTAATTTCTAATTTTGGCTAGCAGAGAGAAAAATATTAGAAATTGCACTTGAGCTATCCATCATTTAACTGAGACTCCTTAAGGGTTCTTCAGTAATCAGCCATTTGCGATTTAGGATTGTATTTGAGGGAAGAGGGCTATAATGAGAAGACTGAAGAATGATGTTATCCATTTTAATGTCTCATTCTCGCAGGCTGCAAAAAGTGGGGTCCAAAGACACCTGAATCTTAAAATTGTCTTTAACACACATTGTAACAGGACTGGGGAGATAGCTTAGTAGATAAAGCATACCTTGCAAGCATGAAGACCAGAGTTTGAATCCCCAGAACCAACAATGTCAGGTGGCCATAGCGGCCTGACTGTAATTCCAGCCATTGGGTTTTATTTATTGATTGATTAATTTTTTAATCTTTTTGAGACAGGTCTCCATGTAGCCCCAGCTGGCCTAGAAACTCACTATGGAGACCAGGCTGGCCTCAAACTCACAGAGATTCACCTGCCTCTGTCTCCCAAGTGATGGGATTAAAGGCGTGCACCACCACGCCCAGCTTAATTCCAGCTTTTGGAAAGGAAAGACCAGTATCCTTAGAGCAAGGTCATACTCATTTGATGAGCTCTGGGTTTAATCAACAGACCCTACTCCAATGAATAAGGTGAGAGTGATTGAGGAAGACACCCACCTTCCTTCAGCCATGGGCCTTCATACACTTATGCATGGTACCCCCCCACAAGCAAACATAGATACACACATGCAAACATACATGCACATAAGAAAATATGCATGTGCATATACATGCACAACACACACACATTTTTAAAACAGTGTGATAGTTCTCAAAATATTGCACATTAGCCTGGAATTAAATATGAATGCTGACTTAATTAGCTTTATAGGCAGTTTTTCTGAGTATGTGGACAAAGTTTCCAAAATGAACTATTAAATTCTACCATTATCTGTCTCCGTCTCTGTCTCTGTCTCTCCTCTCTCTGGCCTTTACCTTGCAGTCCTCCAGTCTCCTGAGTGCTGAGATTACAGGCCTGCATCAACCATGCCTGGGTAAATCTATCAATCTTAATGTTTCCATACCTTGATGCAATTAAGCATAGATAAAAGATAAAATTAAAGAGAAAGAAAAGCCCACTACATGATACTGAACAGCATCAGTAGCTTCATACCAGTCTCCGAAGGACACCGTGCTTTGTTATGACAAGGAATTATTCATAATGTGTGCCTAACATGTAGACTGCATCCTTTATGTGAAACAATGAAAGAGACATCTTTAGTAACTGATGGAAATAACTAGGCAGGCAAATTTTAAAAGAAAGGGGGGGAGGAATCAACAAGTAGGCCTCTATAATAATTGCTTGTCACCATAACATCAAGTAGTTCATCCCTTTTAAGGACTCACCATATAGCTTAGCCATTATGTTACAGGGACGGAAGGAAAATACAGTCATTCACAGAAAGGTAATGACAGGATCCTGCTGGTTTACCTAATAGTATTGACTAGACAGGGGAATTATGGCTTGCAAGCAAAGAGTGGTTCTGTATTTGAAATTGTTTTTGCTGCCTTTTTACCAGATCAGGATTTTTCTTCTCTTAAAAATATCAATACCCTTGAAAAATATCAAAGAGACTACAGTCAGTTTTTTGATCTGACCATGAGAGTGCACAGTTTCCAGATTCTGGCCCAATTACTTGCCTGCTGAAACCTCTGCTATCGCTGGGGGGAATGAGGGAGAGACGCTATGCTTTAGTGCCCCTTGCTGGTCAACCTGCAGAAAATCTGAGCAGATGATTGCCAGAACCCAGGTTTCCATTCACAGAGTGTCACGTTCCATCCCAGTGGGAAGAAAGCCAAACTGATTTAACCCAAACATCTGTAGAAAGTCTAAGAATTATTATCTGGGTGAGGTGGGGCATTTAGAAATGCACACAGCCTCTTAGAGGGAAAAACTGAATGTTAAGTCCAAGCCCAATTTCAAAATTAATTAAGATAAATACAGGCCTCTTTGTGCACAGAGAATAATTTTGCTTAATTATGCCCCCCAAAATGTCTCTTGCCTCTTCATCCATAAGGGAACTAAGTGCCCAAAATTCTCTAATGGAATCCTCAGAGCCACCCCCAAAAAATGCAAAAATGGAGAGAGTATCTCCAAGTGCTGCATTAGATAATTGATAATTATCTCATAACTTACAACAAGTGAATTCTGATTATGGTGATTTTTATCTGTTTGTCACTTTCTTTTAGGCTATGGTTAATTTCAAACAATGGCTATAATTGGGTTTACTGGCAGACTGCCCATCAAAGCTGATTAGGTCTTAGGATTCAAAGGGAATTCTCAGATTGAATACATCAATCCTATTTGGAATACCTGTAGAACACGGCTTATAATTCCATCTCCTCCAAAGAAAATCATTAGGACTCTGAGTTCATGACGCCCAGCTCTAGGGACTAGAAAACTATGAACAGGTATACTAATAGTGAGGTGTGTGGAGACCAGTCCATGTGGTAGTCCTAGAGTGTGTATAAACCAACTGATACCCCAGCCTACAGACAGAAAGAACTCTGGCAGTAGAAAACAGGGAAAGTCTAGAGATTCAAAACCATAGGCAGCTTCACGAAATCAAAATAGTCAAAACAATCCTGAAGGAAAAACAAATCTGGGGCTAGGGAGACACCACAGTGGGTGAAGCGTTTACCACATAAGCCTAAGGATCAAAGTTCAGATCTCCACATAAAGCCAGATTCAGTAGTGTGTAACTATAATCCCAGCACTCCTGCCCCTGGTAAATCCCCAAAAGTTTGGGGCCAGCTGCCTGGTGTAGGCAGCAGTGAACAAGAGACCTGTCTCAAACAAGGTAGAAATCTGGGATTGACATTTGAGGTTATTCTCTGACCTCCACACATGGCAATACACTCAGTCCACCCCTACACACACACACACACACACACACACACACACACACGCACGCACACACGCACGCACATTGAACACACATAGAGAGAAAGAGAGCAAGAGAGAGAGCGAAAGAGAGATGGGAGAGAGAGAGAGAGAGAGAGAGAGAGAGAGAGAGAGAGAGAACAAAGCTGGGCTAGTTAGCAGAGTGCTTGCCTAGCATGGGTGTGTTCAGGAAGCAGCAAGTTTCATCTCCAGCACCACATAAACTAGGTGTGGTATTTTACACCTGTAATCCTAGCACTTGGGGGAGGTGGAGGCAAGAGAATCAAAACTTAAGGCCATCCTTGACTCTGTTATGAGTTCAAGGCCATCCTGCCATACATGAGACCCTGCCTCAAAATAAAAGAGAATAAAGCTAGAGAGGAGTCACACCTCCTAGTTTCAACTTGCTACACAGCAACAGTTAACAAGATAATGTGGTGTTGACTTAAAGACAGACAGGCAGATCAATGAGGTAAAATTGAAAGTCCAAAATAAATCCTTACGTCTACGGTTGGTTAGTTAACATCAAGAGTATCCAGACAGGGTTGCAGATAGAGCTTGGTGGTAGAATGCTTGCCTAGCATACATGAGGCCCTGGATTCAAATCTCAGTACTATAAACAAGAGTGCTAAACTGATTCCATTGGGAAGAGCAGTCATTCAACAAATAATAGCAATAACTATACATCCACAGGCTGAAGAAAGAAGTGATATCTCTACCTTCCACAATCAACACAATTAGCTCAAAATTAATCAAAGATCGAAACATAAGAAAACTATAGAACTAGAAAAGGATCTGAGTAAATCTTTGCTGCTCTAGATTTGAAATAATTCTTTAAAGATGAAGGTGAATATGAAGCAACAATTGGGGGTTTAGACAGGGTCTCACTATGTAGCTAAAGCTAGCCTCGAAATCCACCAAGTGCTGGGGATACAGGCATTCACCATCATGACCAGCAATGGAATTAACTGGTTCATTGAATTTCATGATAATTAGAAAGTTTGCATTTCAAAAGATACCATCAGGAAAGTGAAACTGAAACCCTCAGAATGGGACAAATCACTTGGAAACTGTTATGTCTGATAAGGAACCTGTGTTTAGAATCTATAAAGAATGCTAGAAAACTCAGTGATAAAAAGCTAGAAGATGCTGGAAGCTTCTGTCTCATCCTGACTTGTAGGTGGCCACCTGCTTCCTGTATCCTCCCCATCCTCTTACGGAGAGACCATGCCCTCTCTGCTCTTTCATCTCGTAAGGACATTAATCCTATCATGTATATGAGTATGCAGGCATGTGTACAAATGTGTGCACACATGTGTAGAGGCCAGAGGTTAACATCAAGTGTCTTCCTGCATGACTTTCCACTTTATTTGCTGAAGCAGAGTCTCTTGCTGAATTCAGATTCAGCTGTCCAGTTTGCCCTGGAGATCTTGTCTCTCCCCTCGGGCCCCCTAAGCCCTGGAATTACATGTGGGCTGCTGCTCTCAGTCAGCATTTATGTGGATGCTGGGGATCCAGTCTTCAATGCTCATGTTTGCCCACTAAGCACTTTCTCCACTGAGACATCTCCCCAGCCTAACCACTGAATTTTAAATTATTGAATTGTCAGTTCACTGTAAAGTGGTGAAAGCGGTTATATACAATAAAACAAAACATACAAGGGGAAGATGGATCTTTGGTGAGGCCTTTAAGAGGCAGTAGGATTCCACCCCTAAGAATGGAGTTCAGAACCATCCGTATCTTTAAATACCTGCAAGGAATAGAGCCTAGTTCTGATCTTAAACTTTATACATGAAGGACTGCTGGGCAGAAGGTCAGATATTAGATCTGCCATACTTGGTTAGAGCCTCCAGGCTGCAATCTTGACTTGAACCTGAATCACACAGGGCTTGCCCAGAGCTCCTTAAACTCCTGCCCACAGCCAACATTCATCCCTGACACATCCTTGCCTGACCTGGGGACAAGAAATCTTGAATCTGGAAGTCAGCAGGATCTGTACTAATTTCTTACTTGTTATTGACTTTCTCTTCTGGTAATTTAGAATGAGAATATCAGACTTTAGCGGGCATGTGTTCTTTTCACATTCTTCTATCAGAAACTCTGGGTTTTCGAGGCAGAGGTCTGCCACACTGCCTTCATGGAACCCAGGGGCAACACCAGCCTTGTCAGCTTACTCCCTGATCTGTTTCACTGGACTTGAGGATTCTGGAAAACAAAAGCTGATACTTTTTTTTTCTTTTTTGGTCTTTTTGAGACAGAGTCTCCCTGTAGCCCCAGCTGGCCTGTAACGCACTACATAGACCAGACTGGCCTCGAATTCACAGAGATCTGCCTGCCTCTGCCTCCCACATGCTGGGACTAAAAGCGTGCGCCACTACGCCCGGCAATGGGAGCTGCTCCTTTTTTAAATTACCTCTTCTCCAGTCCTGAGAGTTGCCAGGCATGTAGGAAATGCTTGTTGAATAAATGGATAGTTGGCTCTCCCACTTTCAACTTGTTAGAAGATATATACCTCTTTGTGCTATGTTGAGCCGTTTTCAGAATTAGCAAAATAAAGAATCCTAACCAAAGCATTGACTTTCCTGAGTTGACATAGTATAAAAAATAATAGTTTAGAGGGGTGGGAGAGATAGCTCAGTGGTTAAGAGCACTGACTGCTCTTACAGAGGACCTGGATTCGATTCCCAGAACCCACATGGCAGCTATGAACTGTCCTTAACTCCAGCTCCAGGGGACTCTTAAGCCCTCTTCTGACCTCTGAGGGCATTGCATGACACAGATGCACTCACATACATGCAGGCAATATACTCATACACATACAATAAAATTAAAAAATAATAATAATAGTTTAGAGATGGGCATGGTGGCACACCCCTTTAGTCACAGCCTTCTGGAGACAGAGGCCAGTGGATCTCTGTGAGATCAAGGCCAGCCTGATCTATATAGTGAGTTTAGGCCATCTAGGACTACAGGAAGTCCCTGTCTCAAAAAGACCAAAATAATAATAATTAATAATAATAATAATAATAATAATAGTTTAGTGTGTATGGAACTACTCTGAACTAAACTTTGCACTAAGCAATTATATTCATTATCTCACTTAACCCTCACAATAAATCCCTGAGTAGATATTTTCCTTGACCCCGTTTTGCAGATGTGGAAATCGAGGCTCACAGAGGTTAAATGGTATGCCGAAAGCCACGGGAGTAATACTGGCAATTTATCAGTGTGTCCTTGTCAGAGGAAAATGAAAGAGAAACAAGAGTATAACCTGAGACTGTTCTTGTGCCTTCTGGTCTTATCTGGTTTTCTTGGCTTCAGAGTTTAGCTTATCTCTTCCCGAGTCCACACAATATCTTCAAATCAGACTTCAGTGCTCTGATCTCATCCTATTCAGTCAGCCAAACTTACTGACCAAGCAGCACCTTGCACTGAGAACGTGGCACACAGAAAGACTGGAAGGGCTTCTTCCATTTGGCCATAAACTCAGCCTATAATCAACCAAACCCAGAAAGCTTTTAGTTATACTTCACAGAGTTCTACTCAACAGGGGAACTCAATGTGAGTCAAATACGTATTGCAATGGAACATTTTGACATTTCCAAACAACAAACTTAGCTCAAGGTGTTTCAAAATGCATGGATCACATGTCCTAGAAGTTGTTATAAGAGATTTAGCAGCTTTCAAATTGACCACAAAGTCCAATTCAATGTTTGCTCATTTCACAGTTGTCATGGCCCAGAGAAAACAGCCTGGTGTTCTTTCCTACTTTGTATTTATACTTCTGTTACCTTGGCCATGGATGATATGACTGGACAGCACCCAAAAACCATTGTCTATAGGCATCAGGGGATAGGAACAAAGTTGCCCAATACAGAGGCAACTCCTGTTCCAGAATAAGTCAGAATCATGCAAAACTAATGGCTATCATTAGAAAAGTTAACTTAGAACCAAAGTTAATACATCTAAGACTATGACAAAAATCCTCCAAAGGGACAGGCTTCCCATGCCCATGGTGTAAACTGTCCTTAAACTCCCCTGAACTTCAGAAGCACAAAACATGGAATTCCAGATACCATTCTTGAAATTTTCAAAGCCAAGGCAAAATGTCTCCCACCCGCTTATCATTCTTACCAAACATATGCATCAGCTAGCTACCCTTATTAAAGTCCTCATAAGTGGGTCTTTGGCCCATCCTGGGATTACAAATTGGAGCCACAACATCTGGCCCAAATTTGAATTTGACTTTTTAAATTCTTTCCCCTATATTTATTTCTGGACAAAACAGCACATTTAGACCCAACATTTTCCTTTAGTCCAAGTTTAAACATAATATGCAAAGACTATTTGAAAATACTAAAAGAAAAGAGAACAGAGGGCATCACTTCGTCATCATGTTCCTTCAACTTTCATGAACTCTGAAGCTTAATTGTTCTGCTGTGAAAGAGTAGCTGGAAATAGTCACTCTTCTAAATAGGAATTAGTATTAAACATCACTTCAGTGATATCCTATACGCACCCTTCAAACTAAAAACCCTATGATAGCCTTTATGCATATGATAGATGTGTACAGTGGTTTCTTATATACCTGTTTTAAATCTTTATACTGTTTTCCAAAGATTCTAGAAAGGGATTGTAAATGTTAATATATTGTCCAAATTTTCTGTCATTGGGGTTAATCAGGGAGATCTCTCCTTGGCATTTGACAAAGAAAATGAATCTTTCCTAAATCACTAAATAATAGTCAACCCAAGTCAGGAGTGCTGACATACACCTGTACTCTCATACACCTATACTCCCAGCACCTGGAGGTAGAGGCAGGAGGATGTGAAATTCAAGGGCATCCTCAGCTACATAGAAAGTTTGGCCATCCTGGGCTACATTAGACCCACCCATCTCAAAAAAGTCAACCCTACCACATCTGTATTTCATCCTAAAACAGATTTTCACAGGAAGGACTCTCTCGCTCTCTCGCTTTCTCTGTTCCTCTCTCTCTCTCTCTCTCTCTCTCTCTCTCTCTTGCTCGCTCTTGCTCTCACTCTCACTCTCGCTCTGAGTCAGCCAGAAGCATGTCAATTTGGTATCTATTTTGTTGGGTCTTAATGTGATTTCGTGCTTACATTCCACCCATTTATAAAACATCCTCATATGCTTAGGAGAAAAGATGGATGAGTGATCAGAAAATTTCAAACACCAAATGGAAATGCAAATAGGGCCATGTTTGATATATGGAAGCATCACCAGTGGGGGAAGCTCCTCCATACCCAGGCTCCCATGGTGGCCATGGCGGGCTGTACCAGGGCAGACCATGAGGAAAACTGCAGCACCTGCAGCCGCCAGCTTGAAGGAAAATCAGGCTTCAGGTCAGATAGCTCCTGGGAGCTGAGGGGTCTAGATGCATTTTATAGCTAGGGTAAAGGATTTCTAGGTACAGGTGGCAGAAGCAAATTGCTTGTCAAGAGATTTACTTCAGAGCGAGCCCAGCCATGTAGAACAGTCACAGTGCCATGGGGCCTGGAGCTGCTGGCCCGGATCTTCAAGGCTCACAAGCAGACTTCAGGAATGACAGCCACTGCTCCCCAGCAACAACCTCATCCCTCCTGGGGGCTGGAGGCAGACAACAGGGTTAGTACCACCTCTTCATGTTGCAGCTGAAATCATCAGTCAAATGAGAACAGGAATAGGAATAAGGGAGGTAAACGGAAATCGGTCATGGTGGGGACAGGGAGGAGAAGGAAGCATCTAGTGTTTTCAGTATCTTTCTCATCTGTTCACCTCTGCTTCGGACTAAAATGACAGTAAGGATGCTGCGTCGTGGCCAAAAACCTGACCCCCTTTCTCACTACGTAGCTAAATGTGAGAGAGATTTTCTTGGACAGCACGGCAATGTCACTCTCAAAATCAAGATCAATTCTGAATCACTCTCTCACACTGGGAAGAACCCCGTCTTCCTCCCAAGCCACCATCTCACCCTGACAGGCCATGAGGCAAGAAAGTACTTTTTCAGCAGCGGCCCCTCCATTCTCAGGGCAGGGTACCTCTTAGCACCCAGCCTCCACAACTGGGTGGCAGACACAGGGAAGGCCGCGGGCCAATTGCAGCACCTACGACTGCTATCTTGAAGGAAAATAGAGCTTCACACCAACTTGGACAACAAAAAGCTCACTTAATTGGGGTTTGGAAGTTAGGAGAAAGAAAATGGCAGTGTGGTGAATTCAGGGAGGCGTCTGATATCAGGAAAATGCTGTGATGTGGGGACCAGCACCTCAGGAAGAGGTGATGGAAATGAGATTTAAGAGACAATTTAGATGTAGTTCAAAGAGAAGAACGGAAACAGCAGAAATCCTTGAGGGCACCTGAGGACAGACTGGTTGGCAGAATAGACCTTGGCTTCTCCAAGGATACCTGGTGCAAGGTAGATGCCCAGGAAAAACCTAATGAGTCCACACATGCATATGCAGGAACTACCACTTTCAGAGCAAAAAGAGAGGGTGGCAGGGTGAGTTTCATGTTCTTAAGAAAGCTGTGACCTAGCTTTGGGGATCTCAGCATCCTTGCATTTGTTTTCTGTGGCTCAGGCTGGCCAAGTGTGAAGATTACAGGCACATGTCATCACATCCAGTTTATGGGGTGCTGGGGGTGGGAGTCAAACCCAGAGTTTCATGCATGCTACACAAGCACTCTACCAACTGAGCTATGTCCCCAGCCCCTCTTTTAATTCTTAAGAATGCTTCTATCTCAAGTCCTGGGGAAACAGAAGGTAGTGCTTGGGTTCACTGAGCTAGAACAGCGTTTTGATACCAGCAGACCTGGGCCCTGGTAAAGAGTCATGCTCTTGGCAGGCATGCCGCCCTGAGTTCAGACAGAAAGTACATCTGTGCCTCATTGATAGTGTAATAACCTATATTACAGTGTTGTCCAAGAACACCTGTGCATGGCTCAGAACGTCAGCCCAAGGCAATCATTCAGAGGGAGGTGATATTAACATCTCTCATTAAAGCTGAAGACAGTAGCAGTGCCCAGCAGCAGGGCAACCGGAAAGGGTCTGTCCGAATTGCCGCTACAGACCCCTACTTTGGGCGATCATAACTCAGTCATAGAAAACACAGTTTGCATTGAATGAAAACCTGCAAAGGAAACTATTATGCATTAAAGAGAGTTTAACTCTCAGAGCTGTCAAAGTATTTCAGTTATCCATTCCATCTGCAGGTGACAGTCTGTGGACTATAAGGGGCCTTATTACCTCCCTGTCTGTCTAGACAGTGGAAACAGACTACTGAAGGTAGTAGACTGAAGGTAGACTTATTTCTGACTGACCCAGGGTAAAATGGACTGTCTTGACTCTATGTATAGGGGGGATGCAAGGATGGGAGGGAACACTTGTCTGGCAATCAATAGTACATCCTGTGTTACCTTGGTGTTTTGCTTACCATTACCTGTCCAGAATGAGGAACTAAGGAATTCTAACTCCACCTGGGATTTAACCTCTATATGACATTACGTGTGAGTAGATTTTGCTTACTTTCTTTTTTAAAAAATATTTATTTTTTATGTGTATGAGTATATTGCCTGCATGTATGCAAGTGCTCCCGTGTTGTTCAGTGCCCACAGAAGTCAGAAGGAGGTCAGAAGAGGGCCTTGGATCCCCTGGAACTGGGTTATAGAAGGTTGTTAGCCACCATTTGGGTGCTGGGACTTGAACCTTGGTCCTCTGCAAGAGCAGCCAATGCTCTTAACTGCTGAGCCATCTCTCCAACCCACTTACTTTTTTTAATATAATATTTTATTTCTATTTGACATATATGAGTGTTTTGTCTGCATGATATAAGTGCACTATGCAGGTACAGTGCCCATAGATGTCAAGAAGGTTGTTAGCCACCATTTGGGTGCTGGGACTTGAACCTTGGTCCTCTGCAAGAGCAGCCAATGCTCTTAACTGCTGAGCCATCTCTCCAACCCACTTACTTTTTTTAATATAATATTTTATTTCTATTTGACATATATGAGTGTTTTGTCTGCATGATATAAGTGCACTATGCAGGTACAGTGCCCATAGATGTCAAAAGAGGGTGTTGGATCCCCTGGAACTGGAGTTAAGGACAGATGTTAGCTGCCATGTGGGTGCTGTGAATAGAACCCAGATCCTCTACAAGAGCAACAAGTGCTCTTAACTACTGAACCATCTCTCCAGCCCAGTATTTTGCTTACTTTCAACGCAGTATCTCTCTCTAAAGAAAGGGAGACCTGGAGGCATGTATTCACTGACAGCCTTTTGAAAGGATGCTGCTATCTTTTATCTTGACAGACAAATATACAAAAGTTGT